AGCCTCAAGAGCTGATCTGGTTCATCCTTGGTGGGTTTAGCTCAGCTTTGGTTGATCCCTGTTTGAGTCCATCCCAGTTTTGTTGGGTTTATCCCAGGTTTTGGTTAATCCCAGGTTTTGGTTTATCCCAGGTTTTGGTTAATCCAAATTTTGTTTGGTTTATTCTTGGTTTTGGTTTATCCCTGGTTTTGGTTAATCCCAGTTTTGTTGGATTTCTCCCTGGTTTTGGTTTATCCCTGGTTTTGGTTTATCCCAGTTTTGTTGGGTTTATCCCGGGTTTTGGTTAATCCCAGGTTTTGCTTTATCCCTGGTTTTGGTTAATCCCATTTTTTTTTTGTTTTCTCCCTGGTTTTGGTCCATCCCTGGCTCTCCTGGGTTTAACCCTTTAAAGTTTCTCCCTGGTTTTGGTTAATTCCAGTTTTGTTGGATTTCTCCCTGGTTTTGGTGCATCCCTGGCTCTCCTGGGTTTAACCCTTTAAAGTTTCTCCCTGGTTTTGGTTCATCCCAGGTTTTGGTTTATCCCTGGTTTTGGTTAACCCCAGTTTTGTTGGGTTTATCCCTGGTTTTGGTTAATCCCAGGTTGTGTTTTATCCCAGGTTGTGTTTTATCCCAGGTTGTGGTTTATCCCTGGTTCTGGTTAATCCCAGTTTTGTTGGATTTCTCCCTGGTTTTGGTCCATCCCTGGCTCTCCTGGGTTTAACCCTTCAGGGTTTATCCCTGGTTTTGGTTAATCCCAGTTTTGTTGGATTTCTCCCTGGTTTTGGTTTATCCCTGGTTTTGGTTAATCCCAGTTTTATTGGATTTCTCCCTGGTTTTGGTTAATCCCAGGTTTTGGTTTATCCCTGGTTTTGGTTAATCCCAGTTTTGTTGGATTTCTCCCTGTTTTTGGTCCATCCCTGGCTCTCCTGGGTTTAACCCTTTAGGGTTTCTCCCTGGTTTTGGCCCATCCCAGTTTTGTTGGATTTTTGCCTCCTTGGCTCCGTCCCGCCGGATTTTTCCCGGTTTCCGCGCGCCGGCCCC